CGAACAGGGCATGGCTATATAACAGACAGCCCCCGGAGGTTTCATCGTGCATACATTCATTCACTTTCATTCATACTTCAAGACTGGTTTCTTGATTTCCGTTCTTTTCTATTCCATCACATTCTTTACCGTCAAACTCGACACTCACTCTCTTTTACATTTCAAATTCACAATGAAGTTCACCAACATTGTTCTGGCTGCCAGCGCCGCAACCGTCGCCTGCGCATACCCCCAAGGAAGAGACGTTGTTCCCTCCAAGCAGAGCGCCAATCTCAAGAAGCGTGCCAATGGATTCACCTGGGTCGGTGTTAGCGAGTCCGGTGCCGAATTCGGTAGCAACATCCCCGGTACTCTGGACCAAGATTACGCCTGGCCCAAGACTTCCCAGATTCAGATCCTGAGAGATGCCGGCATGAACATCTTCCGTGTGCCCTTCTTGATGGAGCGCCTGGTCCCAACCAGCATTACCGGCACCCCGGATGCCACTTACCTGGCCGCCCTTAAGTCTGTACGTGATATATCTACTGTGGCTTTTGATTTTCTTCCACCTAGGTCTAACAGTTGCATTCTATAGACTATCAAGTTCATCACCGACAGCGGTGCCTATGCCGTCCTTGACCCCCACAACTACGGAAGATAGTAAGTTGACTAAAACTAGAATTTCCCACCCTACTGTCATTAGTATGGTACTAAAGCTCTATCTATAGCAATGGCAACATCATCACCTCGACCTCCGATTTCAAGGCCTTCTGGAAGACCGTTGCTACCGAGTTCGCCTCCAATGAGAAGGTTATCTTCGACACTAGTAAGTCATCATGCTATAGTGAAAGTAACACCATCCAAACTATCATCCGCTAACACCACCCCTCTAGACAACGAGTACCACGACCTCGACCAGACCCTCGTCCTTGACCTGAACCAGGCCGCCATTGACGCTATCCGTGCCGCTGGCGCTACCAGCCAGTACATCTTCGTCGAAGGCAACGCCTGGTCCGGTGCCTGGTCCTGGACCACTAACAACGACAACCTCAAGGCCCTGACCGACTCCGAGGACAAGATCGTCTACGAGATGCACCAGTACCTTGACGGCGATAGCTCCGGCACCTCCGAGTCCTGCGTCAGCGCCACCATCGGAAAGGAGCGTCTCCAGTCCGCCACCGCCTGGTTGCAGGATAACAACAAGAAGGGCTTCATCGGCGAGTTCGCCGGCGGTGTCAACGCCAACTGCGAGGCTGCCGTCGAGGGCATGCTCTCTTACATGTCCGAGAACAGCGATGTCTGGATGGGCGCCGAGTGGTGGTCCGCCGGTCCCATGTGGGGATCTTACATGTACAGCTTGGAGCCCAGCAACGGCCCTGCTTACTCTACCTACCTCCCCATCCTCGAGAAGTACTTCGTTGACGGCACTGCCTCTACCCCTGCCTCCTCTTCCTCTTCTTCATCCACCAAGACCGCCGCCAAGACCTCCACCACCACTGCTGCCCAGACCACCACCACCGCTGCCCAGACTACCACCACCGCTGCCGCTATCGAGGTCACCAGCACCCCCAGCAGCAACGTCCAGGTCCCCAGCTCCGTGCTTGAGTCTTCCAGCTCGACTACCTCCGCCCCCGCTGAGACTTCCGCCGCTGTTGTTCCCGTTGTCTCCACTACCGCTGCTGCCCCGACTACCCTCGTCACTGTCACCGCCCCTGCCTCTGCTACCTCCACCGCCTCCTCCACCGCCAAGCCCTACACTCAGGTACCTACCGCTAGCCCCTCTTCTGGATCCGTTGCTAAGCACTACTACCAGTGCGGTGGCATTAACTGGACTGGCCCCACTGTCTGTGAGACTGGTACCACCTGCGTTAAGCAGAACCCTTACTACTACCAGTGTGTCAACTAAGGGATGATCTTGTATTGATCATGCCAAAAGGGGAGATTTTTTTTGATTGCTGGCTTGGTGTGAGCGCTTTCTTTCAGTGTTGATTATTATTTACACTACTTCTATACTTTCACTTTTACCTTCTTGTCGATTTAGTTCGATTTTTCTATATAAATTCAATTTGGATGTGTCACAATTACTGGGTGTATATTCTTCTGGGCCTTGACGTAGTTATATAGCCGGTTACCTATCTTTATAGGAACAACTTCGTTTTCCTATAATGTTCTATTATGGGTGTCTCATTCTTTTGTAGACCCAAGACAGGAGTAAGACATGTGAAGTTCATCTTTTTAGCCCTGAAAGATCAACCTGGAATCTGATTTGATGGAATATGTCAGTGTCTACTGCTTCGATTGGTGTAAACCCCAGACAAGCATCTCAGATGTGAAACCGATGAACATTCTCCCAAGCAAATATAAAAGATAATAAAAGTTGCATTCGTAACTGGGTAAATATATTATTCATCATCATTATCCATAGGCGCATATCCCGAAGAGTAACCCTACCAGGAAGGAACCAATACAAATTAAAGCACCGAGGCAGATCTCAGTCCTAGTTAGGAAACCTCGACCGGACCCTAAAGAACAGCAGAAAGAATATACATCGCTTATCAATCTTAGAAAAACGAAGGGAAAAACCACCCAGGGACAGATCAAAAAGCAACTCAACCAGCTTAAGCATCTTCGGCCTGGTGCAAACGCACAGTAACCAGATCACCAGGTGCACTAGTCAAAGTAAGACCATACCGAATCTGCTGATCCGGATAGACATCCTCAATCCGATCAAAGCGCTGCAAAAGCCTCACAAGAACATAACCAGCCTCAGTAAGCGCAAATTGCTGTCCAATACAGATCCGTGGCCCACCATTGAAGGGAATATACTCCCATCCAGGCCTACGACTTGTCCAGCGGTCAGGCTTGAACTGGTCAGCGTCAGGGCCCCACAAATCCTTGCGGCGCTGCATAACATGCGTCGTGTAGATAACCGACTGGCCCTTGCGGATGTAGACAGGGTCTTGGCCGTCCGGACCGCCGCCGCGCGGGAGGGTCGTGTCGCGGGTTGCGTTGCGGCGGTTGAAGGGGACAACTGGGTACAGACGAAGGACTTCGTTCATCACGTACTGCAGGTACTGACAGGATTTCAGGGTTGCGAAGGTGATATTCTGGGGGTTGGAGTAGGTGCCGAAGTTAGAGATGATTGTTTCGCGGAGTTTGGTGAAGACTTCGGGGTGTCGGGCTAGCATGAGGGTTGTCCAGCTAAGGAGGGAGGCTGTTGTGTCACGGCCGGCGAGGAGGATGTTGAGGAGTTGAGAGCGGAGTTCAATTGGGTCGCGGGTTACTTCGAGGAGAGCTTCGAGGAAGACATATGAGGACTTTTGGTCGGGGGAGGCTTTCTTTTCGGCTTGAGAGGCTGCGAGCGCGTTGGAGACCACTTTGTCGACGAAGGAGTGGACCTGCTTGTCTGAGAACTTGGTTTCCTTGTTCTCAGCGAGGAAGGCGAGTTTCTCGAAGCGGCTGCGCTGCGCGCAGACCCATTGGGACTTGTCGAAGTAGTTGGCGAAGGAGTCTTCGGGTCTGTTCAGGTTGTTGAGAGCGCCAAGTTGGCTCTCAACGCTCTCACCGAAGAGGAATTCTGTGGCGGAGTCGATGGTCAAACGGAAGAAGATGGATTGGATGTCGGTTGTGGCGGTCCATCCGTTGGCTGCGACGGGTAGAGCCTGCATGGCCTTTTGCACATGCTCCTCTTCCAAATCCAACTGACTGATCTGCTCGCGGGTGAACTGAGGCCGAAGTAGGCCACGGGATCGGCTCCATTCTTCTCCATCGGCGGTGAACTATAAACCGTTAATACCCGAATTGGAGATAAGAGAATAAATAGTTAAGGCATAGCATGACTCACAATACCTGTGCCCAGCAGTGGATGCAAGCTAAGTCGACGGACAGAGCCAAGCTCGAAGTCCTTGAACTGTGTAGCTAGGAGAGCCTGGATGTTCTTGGGGTCGATAGTGAAAATGTGGGTGCGACCGAGGTTGCGAATGGAGAACGTAGTGACATAGCGGTTCTCTTGGTCACTGATGATCTTGACCCTCTCCTCAGCTAATTCAGGTACCAATTTGGCCTTGTCTGCTGCCAGTGACTGTTTTAGGTTGTTTATTCCCAAAGGATCCTTGCATGGGTACAATGGCACACTGCCACAACCCAGGCGTTTAGCATTGCGGGAGTGTTGCCATGAGTTGAATACCATCCGTATGGCCTGCAGCACGAGGGCTGCGACCGCAAAACCCAAGACGAATGACAGAGCCATGGTCCTGTTCTGTTAGAGGGTTTGGACTTTTCAGAGAAATAGAAGAAATCCGGGTTGCTTTATAACAATACTCCAGCCTCGGATCCAAGCATAAGTGGAGAAAACCTCCGTAGGAAGGATTGGGTATGATCGTCACAGAGCTAAGGGTGAGGAGCCAATGGTAGTCATGGTGGATGTCATATTTGATCGGCAGTTCGGATTTCGCACTCTATGCAATTTCTTCACCGATCTGGATCTCGGAGTTGTTACTTGGTGTGTATTTACACCCGAGTTTGTGTCGGAGTCACCGTGGTATCTTCTTATCATAGGTCTCCTATTCTCATAAATCCCCAGCTCCAGCTTCCTCCGAATGTACCACTCGAGGTCCTAGCGGGACAGAATCAAGCCGTAGGAGGTCTGTGTGGCAGAATCAAACAGGTTTCCCGTGTGACATTCAAACGTCCAGGAATGTGCACAACTTGGATAATTGCATTATTTAAATTGTGCAATTATCCCAGTTGATATTGCAACGTTGTATGTTGTACGGAGTATGTTGTAGCATAACCCTGTGAAATTACCTGCAGGTCAGTGGGGAATCCCTGTCGCATTAGCGTCCACGGGTGGTTGGGCCGAGGTTGTCGCCAAGGATGAGTGATCAATTAATTGTAATCAACTTCAACTTCCAAGGCTCCAAGGTTGGAAACCTCAACCTCAACGTTCACAGCTCTCTCTCATCTCAATAAATTGGACTATTACCATTTTAGCTCAAAACTGCAGAGTGCAAGGACCCGGGATGGACATGCTATCGTCAAGATCCTACCTGGAACTGTCACAAGAAGAAATATCAATAAACACTAGGGAAGGCCGACCCCGAAAGAAACCCGAAGCACCGGAGATCCCCGACCAAGTGACCGACAGAAACTCGGCTACTCCGGATCGTCCCGTGCGGAAAAGAGGCCGACCGAGATTAGGGGCTAAAGATGCCAGTGCCATTGAGGTAGATCCCCATCGGCCTTACGATAGAAACGTCGTTGACCAGCTCCACAGGAACGCCGTCTGCAGATCCGACGGGCACAACGCACCTATCGTCTCAAAAAGGAGAATACCATACAGACTCTTCGATCTCGCGTCGATTTACTAGAGCAAACACTAGAGAATGTATCAGATCTTCTAGACGGAGCTCATCGCGATGCAGTCGCTCACCTCCACAACGATCCAACTGTCCAGCCAAGCGTGGACTATCTCGCTCTCACACGAGAACTCATTCTAGCAGAAATAAACAAGACCCGACTACTCACTCCCGAAAACAACAATGACCTCCAACTCGAGCATACCAACCGTCCGTTGAGAGATAAGGACACATTCGGTTATGAAGTGTCACACACATATCCCCAGAAGAATAACCACAACACCTCCTCTTCATCTTCATACCCACTATACAGCCGCGCCCGCTCTCCGTCCCCACTAATTAACCGCATCCTCCCCACAGCAACAATCTACACCTACAGCCACCAAGAATCCAACCTCTCCCGCCGTCTCCACAGATTCTGCCTTGAACACACCTACCGCTGGCTAACAGATCCCCGCAGCGATCCCGCCCTGATAAGCCGCGTCTTCGGACTCGTCCCCTGCATCCACGACATGGCAGGCATAAGACGGAATTTCCGACGCACGCTACAATCCGAGATCGGCAGCGGGCTGGAATTCGCCAAGATGCCGTTCTACACGCTCGGCGGGGCGGGAAAGCATTTCCCCCGCGTGGACGGGGACGGAAATCCCGTGTACCCGGAGAATAGTCGGAGACCGGGGAGGATTCTGCGGCGGATGGAGCGGATTTTACAGCGGGGCGGGATTCAGGATTGGGATGAGGATTGGAGTGGGGAGCGTGAGCCTGTTACAGGTGCTTTGGACGGAGGGGTGGAGATGGGTGAGCAGGAGAGGATCCGTTCGTTGGATCTTGATGGGGAGTGGTTTGATTGTCATGATGTGCAGGGGTATTTGGAGCATCGGGGTCTTGTGCTGGAGGGGTCGGCGGTGAGACTTACTGTTCCTGAGAGTTTGGTTGGAGCTTTGTATGGATTTTCGCCGGATCGATCGACTGTTTCTAGTCTCTATACTTCGTCTGCTGGGACTACTCCTGTTGAGAAGACGGAGTCGGAATCACCGACCCTATCGTCGTATACTCTGGATGTTGAGTGTTTCTTTGACCGTGAGTTGTCGATACGTGTGCTCCTTGGGTTTTTATTGATATCACTGACGTGAGACTAGTACTTCTCGCAAACCTCAGAATTCTCGGCCGCGCGCCAGGCTTCCGAGTATGGGATGTCGATGCCGCATTGCGATCAGCGATCTCCCGTCGCCCCTTTGGCTAGTCAGCATATAAAGACCAACCGCTGACCTGTCCTTCCATAAATATAATAAGTACTTCATGAGCCACGACAAAGATCATCTACATATACCAAAGCGAATCAAACCGAACACAAGAATCTGAAATTGAACTCCATTACTGGCATTGTTCTGGGGTATAGCGTAGAAAGATCCAGTATAGCAAAAATAAAAAAGGAAGTCCATCAAATCAAATCACATCACAATCGCATCACATCAAAAGACCGTCGAGGCCACGCGGTAGATGAATCCCGTCTAGGAAGGTTTCGAGAGTTTTCCAAGAGTCAAACCCAGCGAGTGCTGGGCCCATCAAGAGTGTCGTCGCATGAGCGCATCGGCGGTTATATCCCGATCTCATCGGATCGTCTAGCAGCAAATCTCACAGCACTCGAAGCAAGCGATACCGGCGCAACTGGGAGAAGTTAGTTTTCTTGTAAAGGTATTGTGCGCATGACCGAATATGGTTCTGATCGGCTTTGATTGGGGGGAATAGAGGGGAAACGTACACTCCGCAGCAGACACCACCGCCGCCACCACCACGCAGCTGCATTTGTTCTTGGCTGGCCTAGAAAGAATGGATGTTAATATTTATTCTGAAAATATGAATGATTTAGGGAGGTATGGGGGTATCAACATACCGGCTGCTCAGAGACGACGTTCTGGTTGCTTGAAGGGGCAGCGGGGCTGGTGGGCTGCATGGTGACGGTGTTGGCGTTCCAGCCGTCAGTGGCGGGCTCGTTGGCCGGGGCGGACTTGAAGAAGTTGAAGTTGAACATTGTGGTAGTGTAGAGTTGGTAGTATGTGTATAGGGTACAGGGTTGAAGGTAGTAAAGTAAAATAGTACGGTGGAGGTAGTCCGGTGTATTTAGGTATAGAAAACAAAGAAAAAAAGGAGAGAAAGAAAAGAGAAAACGGCGCTATATGTAGTTTTTTCCCAATAATGTGGAGGATCGGCCGAAACTCCAAAAAATAAGGAAAATGAAACAACTAGCGCCCTGATTACATGTCGTACTCGCATTCCAATAATTTCCACTAAGCTGTGTACCTAGAGGTACGCGTTACTAAGTTTAGAGACTAATCAGAACGAGGTTGCCTGGGACCACACTGAGGCTTTGCAGGATTCGTAGCCATGGAGGCTTCGTGAGATATGTTCCCATTCTATATTTACTTCTGGAAGTGTGGCTATGTATTCCATACCCCATTCCACATACCTAGGTATATTCAATTGCACAGCCTCTTTGAGCTTGTTCTTCAGAGAATCCATGGAAGGGAACTCGAAAAATCCGAAATCAGCCCTTCAGCCCTGTGGGTTGCCAAGGTCTTGGCACACGGCTTGTATTGGATGTATTTGTACGGAGTACCATGTATTGTGACATCTTTGGTATGCAAATGAACCTCATTTGCACATATCTTTATGCAAGGTTGAAGGACTGTACTTCGTAGATCATTTTATAATACGGAGTAGAAGGAGAGTACATATGTATAACATTGAAGATATCCCATCACAACTTCGAGAGAATCCCGTCCGGCCGCAAAACTGAAAGATAACTTTTCTGAATTTCGCTGATCGACCGGCACCTGCTTCCGATTAGTCTTTTTTAATTCCTTTTTATGCATTTCCAGAAGAAAACAGTCACTTACCCAGCCAATGCCATGGTGATCCGCAGTTCTTGGCGGAGGATCTGAATCGCCAATTCAACACCCTCTTGTCCGTTATACTGTATGTTGTATTTTCGTCAGTCTCAAATAAAATAATAAGCAAACAGAGAAGAACAAAACACATACAGCCAACCCCCAGAATGGGATTCTTCCAATAAAACAGAAGCTGGCCCCCAATGCCAGAGCCTTGAAGATATCCGAGCCTCGTCGGATACCCCCATCCACCGCAATCGGGATGCGATCCTTGGCCACTGGGGCACAGACTCGCAGTGCATCCAATGTCGACGGCATGCCATCCAGTTGCCGGCCCCCGTGGTTCGAAATGACGACGCCGTCGATGCCATATTTGATGGCCAACTCTATATCTTCGGGGGTTGTTACTGCTAATTGTTAGTGGAACTGTAACTGCTTCACTTGATCCAATCGACAGCGTAAACATACTACCCTTAAGCCAGATCTTCAGAGATGTATGCTGTCGCAACCAAGGAATCGTTTCCTCCCAGTCCAAACTTGGGTCTACAAAATATTAGCATACCCTCCATAACCTCACACCAACTCCACAGATGAGCTTCGCAACACATACCGTAGTCAGTGCGGTTCGAGTGATCCGCTCCGTGGCTGAGGATATTGGGCCACGACATATCATCGGGGATGGTATACTCATTTCGGTATTCGTTGATGCGCTTGCCTAACACGGGTACATCAACAGAAAGGAACAGTGCCTTGTACCCGGCCTCTGAAAAGGATGTTAGCTCGGCCCAGTTAATAAAATCATGAAAGAATAGTTATTCAGGATAATGACATACTCTCCGCTCGCTCCAACAACTGAAGCGTAATTGCCCGATCCCGCAGTACACACATCTGCATCACATACGGATTACCGGTCCCCTGCGCAGCAACGTCTTCGAGCGGATAATTCGAGTACGAGGATAAACCCATGCAAAGGCCGTATTTTGCGGCAGCACGCGAGGTTGCGAGCTCGCCGTCTGGGTGTGCGAGTTTCATTGATGCAGCAGGACTGAAGCCGAATGGGAGTGATACCTATTTAGGTATTAGAGTTGGCACTGCTGTTGTTCGTTTGTGCGGGGAAAGTAGAATGATAACATACCTTGCTGCCAAGGAACTCAGTTGTTGTGTCGATTTTGTCGACGTTAATTAGGATTCGGGGACGGATCTTGTAGCGGTCGTAGGCTGCTTCGTTCTCATTGAGACTAGACAGTTTGTTAGGGAGATGGACTGGTCGCTGCATTTCGAAATTCCGTACGTGATTAGATCCATAGCTCCTCCATTGTAGTAATCTATTGAGATCAGCGCTGGTACAATGAATCGCTGTTGTGAATTGCTCATGGTACTCACCTCTGACCATCGGAGCCAGCCGACTGCTCCCGAGTTTCTTCAGATCAGCAATGCAGCATACATCTTTGGAAAGGGTCTCTCCACGGTGAGCCATTGTACCGTGTGTGTTGGGATGTGAATATAGAAATTGTATAAGAAAGTTGGATAGAGTAAAGCGACGACGGCAGAGTACAAATAAGAAGGACCCCCGACAACCTCTTTACTTCCGAGGTCATTCGACATTGCCGAATTGGGATGCACACAAGGAGCTTCTCTTCACTATGGATTAGTTTCTGGGGTTGGTTTCCTATCGTGGAAGATGGTCATCGGAGTCGCTTGCTTGATTGAGATTCTGTGGACGGACGGTGTCACGGATTAAGGATGTTTGGTCGCACAGAGCTTTTATCAAATCCACTATTTACGACCTATACAAATACAGCACCACCACCATCACCAGTCATGCAAGAGTGTTGAGAATATTGCGCGTGGTATAGCCAAACGTGCTGGGGCCAAGCGTGGTAAGGTAAGAAGAGGATGTACGAAGAGCATCAGAGATGCTTATGCAACTGAGGGCACTGTGCTCTAGGTATTTGGAGTGACAATCGCGCAATCTTTGGTTAGGGTTATATTTCACTCCTAACAAAATCCAGCGTGCTCAACTGTGGCAATGAAGTCCACGGCATAGGAGATGAACTGGGTCAATCTGGTTGTGAATGGTATTTTTTTTTTTTTTTTTAAACTAACCGGCCCAATTCTGCGTTTGTTATATCATTATGATTTACAGCAAAAGAGGTGATACCAGTGAATTAGAATGGAATTGATGTTAAAACGAACATCGCCAGGAAAAGACGTCCACGGGTGGACAACCTTGGAAGAGCAGGTGACTCCGGAGGAGATAAGCCGATAAGATATCTCATTTAGGAAGGCGATTCCGATTTTGGCGGGGTTGGCCATAACCACTTTCCAATATGGAAATGATAGCAAGAAGCTCCTTCTTAATTGAATCTATATACCAACCTTAGAAGTTCTTCGAGAATGGCGACATCTAAACGACCGAGGCCTCGCCGATCCCATGCGCTGGGAGGGTGCAGTACCTGCAGACGTCGGCATGTGAAATGCGACCAGAAACGGCCCGTTTGTCGTACCTGCCGGGCCTTAGGCGTGAAATGCGAGGGGTATTCCGATCAGGTCCTGTGGATGCGCACTGATAGCGAGGATGTGGAGAGTACTCGTGGGACTCGCCGGTATCTTTATTCAGGTACATGATCCTGACAGTCTGAGACAAATTGGATTTAGCGTTAACCCACGTTTTAGAGGAATCCAGACTTTCTATGAGCACTGCGCTTGGGTCGGATCTTATATCAGGCTCTATTGATGCATCGCTGGCAGAGGTTGATTCAAGACTGAGAGATCCTGAACGGTCACTTGATGGTGACATTGTCATTGGACCTTTCGCGGTTCTCGATTTCTCTTCAGCACCACAAAAGCCAGTGCAAGAATTGGTACATGAAATTGAGCCTTCTAAGTCTGATATAAGTTCTGCAGTCGAGGCCGATGAGACTGTGGACCTTGAGAAACCGCAAGAGCCTAGTCTCTCTCCAATACTTGATTCTCTGTCTCAGATTGATGACTTCCTTCATTGGTCTGATCTATTGAGCTTTGGACTAGAACAGACAGAATTTGGAACAAACGGCACTTTGAGTATGCCGAATGATTTATCGTTTGATATGAGCCAAGAGATGGGGTTGGTACCCGTTGACTCAAATCACAATGAGGATCCACTCCAAACATTCACAACACCACAGACACCAGGAGAGCTTATCCCCGCTGATATAGATGCACTGAAAGATGCACCGTGCCTGCTTAAACATTTCCAGGATATGGTGATTCCACACATAATGGCCATTCCATGTCGGCAGAAGTCGCCTTGGAAGATTTTGAACGTGCCGGCGGCGGTGGTTACATACAGCGACTCAACCTTTCTTGGGACAGA